TGAAACCTATTTAATTTGATATCCACATTGCAATATTGCATTGATTTATCAATTTATTTGAATAGGTATATATATCTTAAACTTCTTTAATTTAATTTGATACCTATATAAAAAGTTATTTATTTTATCAATTAAATTGAGTTAAATTTTAAAACAGATAACAACCCTCCTCAAACATATTTTCGGCTGCAAGCCTTCTTAAAAATCTAAAGTTTGATACCCAAATTACCGTACTTAATTTATTTTATCAAAATAACTGAGTTTAAATTTTTCTAGATTTGGTCATTATACTCCAAAATATTTCCAGCAATTTTGTTTCTTAAACTTCTTAAATTTAATATCTATATTATAATATATCATTTAGTTTATCAACTAAATTGCGCTAAACTTTTTAACAGTTGGCAGCCCTCCTTTAAAATATTTTCGACTGTAAGCCTTCTTAAAACTTTTTAGTTTGATACCCACATACCAATATTTCGTTTACTTTCTCAATTTAACTGAGTTAAAATATTTCCAACAGTTATCTTTCTTAAACCTTTTTAACTTGATACCCATATTGTAATATTTCATTTATTTTATCGATGTACTTTAGTTAAATTTTCAAACAGATGGCAACCCTCTTTAAACATATTTTCGGCTGCAAGTCTTCTTAAAACTCATTAGTTTGACACCCACGTGGCAATATTTCATTTATTTTATCAATTTGACTGAGTTAAAATTTTGAAATAGGTGGAAACCATCGTCAAAGATATTTCCAGCAATTATCTTTCTCAAACCTCTTTAATTTGATACCCATGGTGTAATAATTTATTTATTTTATCAATGTAATCGGGTTTAAAAATTTTCAAATAGGTGGCAACCCTCCAATTTTTTGCGATATCATTGGTTCTGGTATTATACCAAACAATAAAAAAAAAAATTATTCCAATCGGTTCAGCCGTTCTCGAGTTTTGACGACCGTCACATACTACATTTTTATATATATACTATATATACATACCCTGCCACGCTTTGCTGTGGCATTCCTGTTACATGGATGATAAATTATTAACGAAACAAAGCATACGTTTCATATGAGTTTGATTTTGTAATAAGTACTTGTGTGCACACAATATTTGTCGTGTTTCCATTCTCTGCATTGATATCAAGGATATCTGGTTTGCCGACACGGGAACACGCAACATCTAAGAACCAATCCGCATCTCACTTTAAACCACACTTTTCCAAAGGATAACCTTGAGCATTAGTGATTGAGATTCCGAATGTCAATCGAATTGGGAATTGCAATCTTTAAAATTGAAATGGTGTATCGGTCGGTATCATGGGAATTCTTCACCTTTGAAAGGCCACGTAAAAATCTTTACTTACACTACGTTCTTCCTCAATTTCTTAAGTGCGAGTCCCGTACCGTTGCGGAGTTTTATCTGATTAATATTCCGCAACGTGATAATTGGCACACCTATTTTCAATTCAGTATGTGGGGTCATCCCTGGAAGATCAACCGAGTTCAAAAATTTCTTTGGATAATTAACTGATTCGTCTTCTTCCACAACGGTGTTTATCGACGCATATGTTATTGTTTAAGCGACTTATGCATTTCCCGCTTAAACAAAGAACAGCGAACATACAGATGTACTTATTTTTAAAGGTACTTCGCTCGTGTTTAATTGGGTATGCATTTGTTATGCAATTCTCAATTATCTCTTCGGTGAACTTAGTGAAGTGATAAGTCGCTGGCATTTTCAGCTATGGCCAACGCTAACCCAGCTTGGCTATCATACGGTGCTTTGAGCATCACCCACACTCCACTCCCGGAGTAATTTTTGGCATGGTATTAAGCTACTGCTTACAAACCAACCTGGGGCTCTGCACGAATGCATCCCTGGATAAATCTCAGCTCATTGCCCAGCAGGCTAAGGCAGCTAGAGCATGACTACTCCAATGAGTCCCACAATGAATACACGGTGAAACGGTCACATCTTGCGCTACCGCTTCATCAGCCTGCCCGCATATCTTTCTCTCTCTTTCTCTCTCGCATATCAGGCATATGAAGTGCGTGGCTGACTTGATGTGCACCTATAAACCATACGGTCTCATTGAGCTCGATACACAAACACTCCCAAAGGTAATCCCTACCTCCCCAACTACTCTAACTCGACCACAACTCTAAACCTGGGCTCGAATCGTCACATACGATATCGTATTACTCGTCACGTAAAAACAAATTTTTCAGATTATGACGTACGTGAACGTAGTCTTTGTCTCATTCAGCTTATACTGCCTGACATATCACGTAATTTTCTTTCGTATGGTTTTCGATCCGTGAACGTATGTTACGATTTGAGCCCTGGTCTCCCTCAGCTAAACAGTTGTCACTTTGAATGCTGGATTGAATAACATTAGTGGTGTTCACCACAGTGAGCAAGTGGCCTGGCAGTCTGGTAAAAGAGCAGACCAGCTCAAGCAACGACTGTTGTCAATACCACTCTTATTTAGTTGATAGACATCCTTATTCTTCGCAGCAAGAATAGCTCGTTCACTAGCCTGTAATTAATTTTCTTAATTAAGAAGCATTCTTTCCATCAGTTCTCCTTTCGATGTTCCTTAGTTACAAAAATTATCAGGCAATACAATTCCTCTTAATCTCTCGTTAGCTGGCAGCTTTCCGTTCCCAATGTCCAGTACTTGTCGCGAAAATCCCTCGGCTGCAGTGTATATATGTATGTTCGTTTAGCCACAATGCACAGTGGTTCGGATAGCAGATCTAGCTAGACGAAAGTCAAATTTTTTTGTTTTTAAAATACTTAATGGTACTTGGAATACATTCCTGACAATACATTCAAATAGAAATTGCATTTATTAAAGCATGAACATATGAAAACAAAAAAAAGGTAAGTCAACGCCGCCTCTTTGAGAACTCTATTTTAAAAGCTGAAATTTAACTTAAAAGATTGCTAATTGTACTCACAAATATTTACAAACTGACTTTATAACCAAAAAATTACACTAATTCCGCTATAGATTCAGAGTTCATAACGCAATTTATGTCCAGATTGGTATAAGTAAATTTATTCTGAAAAATCATCGTTTTGATTAATTAAAAAAATAAATTAAAGAGTAGGAAAAGTAAAGGCCGCCGAAGGCCGTTATAAAACCACTTGCATATTATTCTTTACACTTTCGCAAATGCAGAGGGTAAGTTCGATAACCAAGTCCAACCAATTGGGTTAGATATTTAAATTTTAGTGACGGTATCTCAAATCTCAAAATTCAAAAGTAATTATTAACAGGAATGTATCTGAATGTAAATATAAGATCAGTGGCGGATCCACGGGGGGAGAGCGGGGCGGCTGGGTTGTGTGTTAAAACAGAAAAATTCTTGGAGTTATAAAAACTTTTGTTATGTAAATAAAAAAAAATATAATAATAATAATGAAGCACAATTAACAAACATTGACGTTGAAGACAAAAGTCAAGAATAATACATATTCTAGTGCTTATCATAACTATACGAACCCACATAATGACAAGTTTTGACAACTTATTTTATTACTATTTAATCTTAATTATTTTTTCATAAAAATGTACTATGCTCTTTAACAAAACACATATCAATCCAAGTTTCAAACTTTGTGCAATATTTGAAAAAAAAACCAACAAACTTTTGCAAAAATTTCGATGTTCTTAATTAGGTTTCTTAGAAAGATATTGGGTATGCAGTTTTGTAGCCCATTAAATTTTAGTAAAATAAAGTTCAAGTTTGAAGTACCTAGAGGGCTTTTCGTTGATTTTTGGCATTTTTTTGGTTGACGATGTCAGTCATTTTCTGCCATACGAAGTATGTTCGATGACTTTTTTATATGGAGAATATCAGCAACACCTTCACCAAAAAAAAAAATTTCCAAAAATCTTTTTGTTTTAATAGAACTGAATGGGCAACAAAACTACATACTCAATATCTTTCTAAGAAACCTAATTAAGAGCATCGACATTTTTTCGAAAGTTTATTGAGTTTTTTTTTTCAAATATTGCACATTTTTGACAAATTACAAACGACATTTTTATGAAAAAAGTAATTAAGATTAATAATAATGAAATACGGACTGTTTTTATTAAACAATTAGCTGTTTTATAAAATTATTTTAAAATGATTTGTTAGGAACTGAAAATAAAAATAAAAGTATAAAGCGAAATATTTTTAACAAATTTGTAATCGCTTTAAGTACAAACAAAAAATTTTCATATTTTAAGATTTTTTAAATATTTCGCTTGCCATGTTGGCGTTTTGAGTTTTTGGTAAAAGACTTTAGATTCGCAATCAGCAACCCAGAAAACCCGCAGATACCCAGCTACGTAGAAATCTACCGATTTTTTTTTTAATTTTCGTCCGCCATATTGGATCCGCCATTTTGAATTTTTGGTAAATGACTTTAGATATGTAATCAGCGACCCAGAAAACCTCCAGATACCCAGTTTCATAGCAATCTACCGATTTTTTTTTAATTTTCGTCCGCCATATTGGATCCGCCATTTTGAGTTTTTGATAAGTGACCCCTAGGTAAGAAGTGGTGTAAAGATCCATCAACGAGTATTTGTTTAAATAGTTTCGTCCAGCTAGATTTGCGATCCGAACTGCTGTGCAATGTTGACTATTTCAGGTAAGCATTTATCTAGTGTTAATCAAGAAATTACAATGTTTGCGTAAAATCTCCTGAGGGCAATATCAATACATTCCCGAATGGTTGAACGGTTCCATGCAAATCCCGCGACAATGCATCAAGGACCTCAAGCAATTTTTTAAGTGCCATCGTGCACTGATCTCAAATAATTAGTTTAAATTTTTGTACTACTTTTTCCATACCGGATGTTCTGGAAATATTGC